ACGTGCTGTAGTGCTAAGCCGCGACGCAACCGCTCACACGTAGGGTTTGTCTGATTATGTTGTTTAAGTTCTTCTGAATGAGACCAGAAAAATGAAAAAGAGTGGGACGTTTGAACGAGCTACACGATGTGTCTCACTGCGTACATGTGGGTCCTGGTACGAACAGCAGACCATGGTTAGCAAAAATTCATTCACTTATAAGCACAAGTAAACAAAAAACCCTAGTAACAGCAAAAGTAGCTCACCTTTTCAGCCTTTAGGAGTAGGAAATTAAATAAGGGATCGCGGCAGCAAAAAGAGTAACAGAGGAAAAAAGTATGGGAGAAAACAGCGCCTCATCACTAGGCGACCAGCTGATTGTGTGTGGGTCCTGGAACGAATTTTTGCAATCTGTATTGTCTCGACATTCGTCTGACGTGATGACGTTGCATCGATTCTAGGAGTGTAGTACTTCCTTCTTGTCGCAAACTTTCTTGCAACCCCATTAGATACAGCATACACCCTCCTTTACTACGCCTTATTCAGAGTATGATGTATTATATCGCTCAATCAAAGGTTCGTACAATTGAGAAAAATAAAGAAACTATATTTACCTGGAACTATGCCTTTAGGTCGTCGATGCGCTAAGTGCGCTACTGTTCTATAATACAATAAAATAGCGATGCAATAAAATACGTTGTGCATACCGATTGATTCAGGTGTAACATTGTTTTTCTTTTTTTATTATTACTAAAAAACTTCTTCAATGACCTACTGCAGCTTCTTTTATTCGAAATGCTGGATGACTCCCTCTCAACTCTAGATCTGGCCGGGGCGGACCTCACTGGAGAAGACGGCGATCACATTTGATACTACGCTTTATCTGCTACGTTGTTCAGCGTACTCACAATAAATATTGCTCAATTCACTGTTCGTCTCCACCACATTCCCATTACAACTTCACTGACCACCGCGAGATGTTCATAAAGGGGTCCAACAAACCCTTAGTCTCAGCGCCCGCAATAGCTTGGTGCATCGGCCTAAGGAAGCCACTGTACTCCCATGTCAAAGCGTCGCAACTTTGAGGCCTGGAGTCGAGACTAGCTCTTCGAGCGCAATAATATAAGGTCGAATGTAAGACCTTGAATCAATTGATTCAAGTTTTCGATCCACCGGTAGCTCTCCCATTACGTACCTGGAGCAACTTTTCTGCATTGCAGAGTAAATCGCCCGTACACGGTACCTAGAGTTTATTTGTTTATTTGTTCATACGCTACATAAGGTAGACGTGAGATATAAACAGCAGCACCTATAAAGCCTTACACAACTACATAAAACTCAGCAATTCTTTCTTTAGAAGCCGCTTAAACTGCACATGAGCACGGGAGAGAAGTACTATTTGCGATTTCAAAGATATAAATATGAGCCTACTCTGCAGTTAGAACTGCGAAGCCTCAAGTTGGAGCGAGGCGTTGCGTATGAAATTTTCACGTAGCTACCTTTGGTCCTTGAAACATTTCTGGTGAAGAACTTGGACTCATCAATTCTAGCAATCCCCAATATCTTAAATACCATACAGGTTTTATCTTAAATACCACACAGGCATCATATAACTTCCTTCGTGACTTTAGGCTATGAAGCTTGAACTTTCGAGTAATAGAGGCTAAAACGGCCTGCCCTGCCCCAATGC